TCAATCTCACTATCAGAGTTCCTGCTGCCAGATATAGTTTATCGTCATATCCAGGACTAGGTGGAAGAAATATTCAAGAGTTAATTTCAATAAAAATTTAATGGAATTCATCTTACAAAGCAAAATAACTTCTCTTCTTTTATTTATTCATTGGATTCATATTTATAGGTTATATTTTCAGGTTGAGTCATAAATAATCTACTTCTTTTTAATCAACTTCTTCAAAAAATAAAGTACAATTATATTTTATTCAATTAGATATTCACCGTTATTGGCAATGACTTGTTGCCAATAATCAGGCCACTCTTCAATACCTTTTCAGTAAAATTTCACAGGTTTTCATGTGAAAAATTTTGACAAATTCTTGAATCTGGTTTTCATTAGAGAAGATTCCTCACCCATCAAAGTGTTTTGCAGTGATTGAAAAAGGTAATAATCGGTTGGCATAAGGTAAGGTGAATGCTACTGGTGGAGTAGAACTGACCAAGTTCCAAATTTTTCTTTGTTAATCTTTCCCTATTTGGTCTTTCTTGCGTTTCATAGGGAAGAACAACATTTAATCTGCTGTGTATGCTGCTATTGACATGCAAAAACTAAGGTATGTTAGCACTAGCATGCAGAAGGTAGGGCAGAAGTTGCAATGGCCCTGGGTATCCATATTGGGAAGGCATCCAATCCAAGATTGAAATATAAATTTAGTTTGTATTTAGTTTGAATAAAGTGTTTATTTCATGTTTTATCTGTTTTTAAATATTTAAAATTTATCGCATTTCTGAGTACTAGGCCTTTAGGCCCTTGCTACTTGACTCTTAGGAGGATACAATCAAGGAGTTGGCCCCAGGCATCACTAAACATCACTAACTCTCTGTATGTTACTGTATGTTAGTGTGCTCCAAATTTATTCTTAACTGCTACTTATGATTAGAAGATCATAATTACAATTGGTTCCAAAAGCTGGTAATTAAATATGACTCAGTGTAATGCACCCCAACCCAGGGACCAGATAAATTTACTGCAGAGGTTCTGGTAAATGTTATAAAATGTTATTGACATTGGCATTTAACTGTATCACCACACGTCCATGAATTTGCTTGACTTTTCCACTAACCTAATGAATATTCATGAGCACTCCTCTATGAAAAATTTTGAAATATGAATAAAATTTTTGCTCTTGTATATAAGTACTTGTCACAAAATAAAATCCTTACATTTGCCTTGATAAAGTCCATCAGAGGATGAAACATGTCAGCTAAGATAAGTTGTCCTTTTATCTTTTTTCATATTGTTGTTTTACAGATATTTACTATCTATATAAATATTTATACACACACATATATATATATATATATATATATATATATAAATAAAAAGAAAGAACAGTAAGATATAAAATCCGGTGTTGGAACTGTGTAGCGAAAAAAAACATATTTTAAATCAATTAATTTATAATATTATATATATATATATATATATATTTATATATATATATATATATATATATATATTTTAAGAAATTTTTATACATTCTTTTTATAGATACAAATATTTAAGTAAATGCTCTGTTTATAATAAACAGTATTAAACAACATTTACTGGCCTGAATGTCCGAGAAATTTTCATAGAAAATATTTATCCTCCGACAGGATTTGAACCTGTATCCTATACGGAACCGTCATTTAGCTTGATGTGTCTTTACCGTTTGGTCACAGAGGAGTGTTCGGTTAGCAAGGTTGAATTTACATTATTTAAACTTCAATCTCTCACATACATTGATATCTGCTCATGGCATATCAAATGTAAACAAATGACATCACACATTATGAAATGGACAAAGTCTGACAATTATTTTAAGACACATTTATGTTTATACATTTTTTTTTATAGATGCAAATATTTAAGTATATGCTCTGTTTATAATAAACAGTATTAAACAACATTTATCGGCCTGAATGTCCGAGAAATTTTCATAGAAAATATTTGTCCTCCGACAGGATTTGAACCTGTATCCTATATGAAACCATCATTTAGCTTGACGTGCCTTTACTGATTTGGCCACAAGGACGAATATTTGATTCATTGTAATCAACATTTTGAAAATAACATTGAATTTATGCTAAAATATTTATTTTTCAAAATAATTTGCTTCCTTGTCATTTGATTCAGTGATAAATATTAATTAACTGAACATTATCTTGAAAACATTTCAGATCCAAATTCAAATTCAGTTAACTCTATAGAATTATTGAGTCATTCTTATATTTCTGGTCTGGTGCTTCTGCTATGCATTTAGAAATTTCTTGATAAAATCAAAAGAAGAATCAGCAATGTTATTGATCCTGACCTGGCATCTCAGCATCGGTTACTTTCCCACCGCTGTAATGTAGCTTCCCTTTGCCTTTTCTATAAATACTTTCATGATAATTATTCTGATAAATTTTCTTCTATAGAACCTAGATTTTATGAATTTATGCGCAGTACTAAACTGGCGGCAAGATCTCATCCTTTTACAGTTGAAATGACTCGATGTAACCTTAAGTTCTATGCTAATAGTTTCTTCTCTCGCACTTCTTGCTTGTGGAACACTCTTCTGGTTTCTTGCTTTCCAGTCAACATTGATTTTCAAAAATTTAAAAGAAACATCAACTATTATCTTCTGTCTTCTTATTTCCTGTTCTCTTATTGTTTTAACTGATTGATTTATTTGCTTAATGGCATATCAAGTCACTATGGGTCAGTTAATACTAAAATTTAATTTTCTTGGGAACTTCGAAGTAATAAATCATATAATAGATGTTATTCTGCTTTCACAATTGAATACATGGTAGATGATACTCAGATTTTGTGCATATACATGTTTGGATGGACATAATTACTACAGGCAGTGATATGTGTGTTTTATGTTGTAGTTTTGTTGAAGTTATATTTTGGGATACAGTTTGATTTAAGACATTGTCGGATATTATATGGATTAATGACATGAAAGAGTTCTTACATGTTGGTTGTTTGGCTGATTTCATCTAGGGGCACATCAAATTCTATGGATTATTTAATGCCAATATCTAAATATTTTGAACACAGTTGTATGCCTTCAACTATAGATAAAATGTATTGTTGGTAATTCTACTAAAAATAGGTATTATTGATAATTTTTTGAAATAAAAATATATTACTGGTATTTTTACTATAAAAATGTAATTTTACACTTTCATAATGTTTTGTTTTTGCCTGAGGGGTTCACTGTTTGCCCACAGGTGGGACCTTAACAAGTTCTACTATCTTGGTTTAGGCTGGACCTGGGAACAACAGCAATGAAGACGTGGTTCCACACTTCTCAAAATCTCCAATCTGCCAATCAGACGTCTTGCTGCCAGATGTAGTTTATCATCATACCCAAGACTCTTCTATTGTCCTCTTTCTTTAATAATGTCTTTTTTTATTTTCTCACACTCAGTAACCTCTTGCATCTTAGTGGTCTTGTTTCCTTGCTTCAGGTGAAATGATTAAAAAAAAAATCAAATACATATAGAATATAGATGCGATTTATATTCTATGTGACCAATTAATACGAACCATTTATTTATTTTGTAAAAAGAAAGTTATAAAAGATTATTTGACTATTATTATTTTTCTGATTGCAATGAAAAAAAAAAGAACTTAATAGGAATGAAGAGAAAAATGACTTAAAACCTAATTAGAGTCAAAGTGAAGCAACATGAAAATGATGTGTGCATCTATACTGAAACTATCACCTGGTATGCCTACCAAATCTTATTTCTACTTCCTTCTGTCTTCCCTCTTAGCAGTCAGTTATAAACACCAGCACTTGACGTTAAAATTAGGAACAAAATCAATTTGACTTCTATTTGTGACTTGAGAATTCTTTTTAAAGCAGCATTGTCAAATAATTAGAGCAAGGGGAGATAATGCAATAGGCAGGGAAAGGTTGAGAATTGTCTGTAATATTGGTAATAGTAGTCGCAATAAGACAGCACACAAATTTACTGATATATTCTAAAAATAATAATAATAATAATAATAATAATAAATAAAACTGCATTTATTCTATAATTTAAAACTGTAAAATATTATATTTAAACAAAGAAAACAAGGCAGAAAAAAAGGAATATTTATTTTTTGATGAAAAATCCTATTTCTTTCTCAAGTATACAGATATTTGTAAATAGTCAAGCCACTTTTTTGAAAAAGTAAGCAATGATTTCTATTAGATATATATATCCGGCCTTCCCACCAAGGCTAGATGTGAAACAAGGTCATTTTAACATGGGGAGCACCATGCACACACTTATGCACATGTGCCTACGACAAATTGGTTTTAGCCCAAACCCTGTGACTGCTGTCACACTGACATTGGTATTACATTGACCCAACCTTTGGAGTGCAATGAGGAAGATGCTGCTACATGGTTGGTATCCTTGGGCCTGAGCAACTTTGTCCATTGAAAATGAGGAAATTCCTAGCTCCACTTATAGTACAGAGGGCATTAACCATATTCAGAAACCCTAATTGGCAATGGTTAACTCCTTGCCAGGTATATTTACCCAGCCTCCCCACCAAGGCTGGATATGACACAAGGTTGATTTAATATGGGGAGCAGTTTGTGCATATTTATGCATATTGGCCAAAGAGAAAAACTGGTTTTTGCCCAGCCTCTGCAATCACTGTCATGCAGACATTGGCATTACACCAAACCAACCTCTTTAGTGCAATGAGGAAGGTATTGCAACAGGGTTGGAATCCCCAGAGCTGAGCAACTTCTCCCCTCTAAAATGAGGAGAATCATAGCTCTACTTACCAGCCTCAGAAACCCTGTTAACTCCTGTGACAGGTAATTATTTCTATTAGGTTGAGCCATAAATAATTTATCAACTTCTTAAAAAAAAAATGAAGTACAATTACATTTTATTCAACTATATATTCACCATTATTTGCAATGATTTGTTTCTGCTTATATGCAGAAACTCCATTAATACAATAAGGCTTATGACCATATCTCGTTGAAAAACCAGTTCCCATACAATCACTGTAGTTAAGCAACATTGAGCCTGGTCATTACCTAGATGGGTGACTGCTTGGAAATACCAAGTGTTGTAAGATTGGATGTGGAGATGGTGTAATGGATAATGGCTTTGAATGTTTAATTGGAGAGTCGAGTTCCAATTCCAGTTGTACCAGTTATATTCAGTTACATGCAAAAACCCTTCAGAAAGGTATAAATCCACTTCTTGCCCCACTAACTATGGGTTAAGTAGTAAAACTTGTATCACTAAATCATTATCTCAAAAAAAAGAAATTAAAAAATTCTTACAATCTAAAAATATTTTCTGGCTATAAATAATTGGCAAATGGTTGATACGCCATAAAAAATGAATGAATCAATCAAACAATCATTAATACAATAATTTAAAACTGTAAATAACATTATTTACATTATTTGGACTGTTATCTTTATCTTCATTGCGATATTCACAATGTTAAATTGAGATAAAGGGAAATAACTGAGACACCTGGAAGTGGCATGGCATGTGGAATTAGAGCAACCTAACCTGGTGGGCGAAATAAAGAGCTGAAACATTGTGAATATGGCAATGAAGATGAGAATAACAGTCTGAATTATGTAAATAATGTAAATAATTATAACACCTCATCTCAGAGATACAGAGAAATATTGTGAATAACATATATTCAATCAGGGAAAGAAAAGCAGAAGAAAGGGAATATCTCTTTTTTTTAAGATTCTTGAAAATTAATTAATCTAAGCATTGAATATTTTGCCATATTTGGTTTGGTGCTTCTGCTATGTAGTTAGAGATTCTTGACAAAATCCAAAGAAGAATCTGCAATTTTATCAATCTTGATCTGGCATCTTGACTGTTATCATTTTCCCACCATCATAACATTATTCTCATGAGCTTTGGTACCTCAATTTCATAAATTTAAGTATAGTACTAGATTAGCAGCTAGGTTTCATAATTTTACTCTGTTCTAATTATTTCTTTTTTAACACTTCTTGTCTGCGGAACTCCCTTCCATCTTCTGGAATGAGTAGTGAGTTTGATCCTTATTGGGTACCCCATATTTTTGTCTTTGTTCCTCATCTAAGATACGCTTAGAAAATCACCATTGTTGCTTGCTAAATATGTACAGAGACCACATAATGGATATGAGCACAGTTATGTGGTAGGTAATGTATTTCAGAAGTTGCAACAAGGAAGTCAACTAAAATTTTCATCAATTTAAATGCAACATTCACCACCTTGAGTCCTTTTCTTTTTATTGTCCTTTCAACATAATAATGTTTTCTTCACTTGCAGTAACTCTTTGCGTATTTGTAGCTTTATTGCCTTGCTTGGGGTGAAATGATTAAAAAAACATATTTTTTTCAAGTGTGTATTTCTTTGTAAAACGAGCAGCCTGCGTCTCGTGTTCAGAATGCTGATATTCTAAAGACTCAGCCACATAAACAGTTGGCTTCAGATTTTGGCAAGTATAATTTGACGCTTCAAAAAGTGTGTTGCTAAAAACATGTAAATTTCTTTCACAATAACACAGGAAAAAATCTCTCTCGGCAGAAATGACAAAGCAGAACTGTTCTTTCAAAGAGGATCGTGTTTCCTGAGAAAGTTGAAATTTAAAGAAATAAATTTTTATCAGCTCAACATAAATTTGAAAATCGCTACGTAATGACATAAAGGGGTGACAGAAGAGAAGTTTTAAAAACATTTCCAACAGTTTTCTTTTTTTAAAACTATGACAAACTAGTTTAAACATGCCATAAAAATGATAGCATATTATGTTAAGACCTTTTCAGTGTTGGCTTTTCACTGACACCAAAGGTAGATGTACGAGGTATAGCAGTAGATTTTGATTTGGTTTGGTTTTTGTTTTACAGTATATCAACCTCAATGGGTTATTTAATGCCGGCAACATTTTTTTCCTGGTAATATTTTGTTTTGTCAAAAATATATTTCTGGTAATATTTTTTTTTCAAAAATGTATAGCTGGTAATACTATTTTCCCAAACCAATTACTGGTAATAATTTTTTTTCAAAAATGTATTGCTGGTAATATTTTTTTGTTCAAAAACGTATTGCTGGTAATATTTTTTTTTTCAAAAACATATTGCTGGTAATATTTTTTTGTTCAAAAACGTATTGCTGGTAATATTTTTTTTTTCAAAAACGTATTGCTGGTAATATTTTTTTTTTTTCAAAAACGTATTGCTGGTAATATTTTTTTTTCAAAAACGTATTGCTGTTAATAGTTTTTTTTTTTCTTCAAAAATTTATTTCTGGTAATAATTTGTTACAAAGTATTTCTAGTATTAAAACCTATTTTTACACTTTTATAATGCTTTTTACCTCAGTTTTGGGGTTAACAATTTGCCCATAGCTGGGACCCTAACAAGTGCTACCACCCTGGGTCACGATAGACCTGGGAACACCAGCAATAAAGAGGTGGTTCCACGCTCCTCAAAACCTCCAGATCAGAGACCTTGCTGTTAGATGCTTACCCTGGATGTGGATGCAGTTTATTGTCATACCCAAGAGAGACAGTAGAGGCTGATTCATCCCACAATGATCTATATTTTTTT